ACTGGGAACTGCTTCTAGGCAGGGCAGTGCTCGCTCAGCTGGGCCCCCAGGGGCAGGTTGGAGAGGAGGGCTCCTGTGCAGGGGACGCCGAAGAACTTGCCCCCAAGGAGAAAGCAGCGAGGAGTGGGGGACAGGAAAGAAGCCCAGCAAGGACATGACTGCAGGGGCCGCCCCAGGCTCAGCCGGATCCCACCGGCAGCTCTGGAGCATAAAGAGGACCCAGGGCCTGGGCTGTCGGACCCCCACGCCAGCCAGCCAGCCCCTGGCACATGCAGGCATCACGGGGCCAGCAGGGCAGGTGGTGAGGCTGCAGTGTACAGGACAAGCCTCTGAGGGTCCGGGTGCCAGCCCTCAGGAGCAGACCCAGAGGCTGGGCGCCGGGGGCGTGGAGCTGGTGAAGACGTCCGAGGGGTCTGGATGGGGCGGCGGCAGTGACGGTGGTTTCTGTGTGAGTCAGGCTTTGTGGGCTGAGCTGCCAGAGTTCTTTCCAGCCCTACGTAGTCCTTACTCTCATCTCAGACCCACTTATGGGGTGGCCCCGCCCCAGGATGTGCTCAGGCTCAGGCGGAGGGCCCTGTGGGGCCTTAGCAGAGCACCGGCAGAGAGCCAGCCTCCAGGCACCATCACGCGTCTCCTCATTGCTGCTGTGGATGAGGAAACGGAGGTGTGACCGGCCTCGGCTCGTGCCGCCGACTGTTGAGCCCGCGCTGAACTAAAGTGTGTCTACTCCTGACGCTGCTTCTGCCCAGCAGGTGCAAGGCCTGAGGCCGGAGGGTGAGGGGTGAGCTGCTCCCCCTAAGCCCTGCCCTTCCAAACACGGGAGAGTCCAGGCCCTTGGTGGAAGAGGTGACATTGAAGGCCAGGCAGAGGAGGACGGGAAGAGATGGGCAGAGGCCTGGCGGTGGGAACGCAGTGGGCAGCTCAGGGAGGGTTTCCTGGGGAGAACTGGGCACATGGGTGGGAGGAAAATGCTTGGAAGGCCTTGCATACCGTGCCCAGAGGCTACAGGGACTTCCTTCTGCACGTGCCCTGAGCCACGGCCCTCACAGTCAGACACAGGCTACAGAGGGTGGGGCAAGGGGAGGGTGGAGACCAGCCAGGGCTGCTGCAGCCCTCATGTGGGGGGAGGCCTCTGCCCCAGGCAGTGAATGGGGGAGCCGGAGGGGTGGGCCAGCCACTGTAGGGAGGCGTGGGGGGAACGGGCTGCCCGGGGAGATGCCAGGGCTCCTGTCCTGGGCAGCGGGCAACAGGAGGGTGAACACACTTGACCGTGTCTGGAGCCCTCACTACACCGCTGGTCTCTGCGGAGCCGCTTGCTTACAAGGTTCGAGAGGTCTGGTCTGCAGCCCACTCTGGGGTCAGGAGTCGGTGGCCTTGTGAAGGGGGTGCAGTTAACGGAAATAAGGAAGGAGGGGCGGAGCCCCTTCGGCCTGCCCACTCTTGGAGGTGTCCAGGCACCAAGTATGGTGACCACGCTGCCACCTCCCTCCTGGTGGGGGAGGGGGGTTGGGGGAGGCTGGTCCTCTTTGCCTTTGAAGAAAGCTGTTGTTACTGTCGGGCTGCCACCCCTGCCACTGGCTTGCCCTTGGATGGTCCTGGTGAGCAGGGCAGAGGGAAGGGGCCCACCCACGCTCAGAGGCCTTGAGCAATGCCCTTGACCTGGCTCCTGGGAGGAGGAGGAGCACTTGCTGCCCTGCGCACAGGTCGGTGCTGAGCGGTTCTTGTACCCGGCTCATTTGCTTCTCAAGACAACGTCACGAGAGGGCATCGTGTCCCCACGGTCACACGGGAAATGGACATGACACGGTGCCAGGACGGGCAGAGCTGGGTTTTAGCTGGGTCTGCGGATTCTAAAGTGCAGGCTGGTTTCTACCTTCCTCTCTCTTTCTCCCTTAAAAAAAATCATTGCCACAGTGAACTCAGGCTCTTCCCTCCGCCGCGGTTGACTTTCAAAACCACAAGTCACCTGGACCTGTGAGAGGGAGCGGGGGGGTTGGGGGGGTGCCATGGCATCAGGGCATCTGATTTTGCTCTCCTAGGCCTCGTCTTACACCTTAGAAGTGCTCCCCAAATCACCCCCAAAATTTCCAGAACCCAGGGAGGGGCCAAGTCCCTCGGGAGGAGGAGAAAGCTAGCCTGTGCCGAAGAATGAACGAGACGATACAATGTATGTGGCATGTGGTGTTTTCCGTCTGCGGGCCACAGCCCCTGAGGCCTGGCGTACAACTACGATCCGTGGTCTTGTCCGGCGTCCCGGCACAGGGCTCCTAGAGCCTTGGCATTTCCTGCATGATGGGGTGTCTTTCATTATTCAGGATGCGCCCCTTTCAGTCACACATGAGTTTATTCTAAGAGGCGACCCAGGTGAGGCCCCTGGACAACCTCAAGATGGGGCTGGTCACCAGGTGACTGCAGGGCTGGGACTTTCAGGGGCACCCACTCACTTCCCCAGTGAACACAGAGGTGTCACATCTGGGGAGGCCTGGTGCTTCCCACCCCTCCCCCATACCTTCCTGTGCACCTCTTCCATGGGGCGCTTCCGAGTTATAGCCTTTATAATGAGCCAGCAAACATAAGTAAAATGTTCCCCCCAAGTTCTGAGGGTCAAACCTGAGGGCGGGGTCATGGGAACCCCTGGTTTACAGTCAGTCGGAAGTACAGGGGGCAGTGTGGTGGGACTGTCCTTAGCCTGCGGGGTCTGCCTTAACCCCAGGCAGGTGGTGTCAGAACTGAACTAGCCGTGGGACATCTCACTAGTGTCCAGTGGGTGGGGTATTGACGGCAGAAAACACCCAGAGGGGCGTCATCAAATCACTGAGTGGATCGCAACTGACTCTTTAAAAAAAAATTATTGATTTTACAAAGAAAAAGATAGTGGGGAGAGAGAGAGAGAAATAGCCATCGGCTGCCTCCCCCACATACGCTGACCGGGTTCCAGCCGCAGCCTGGGCGTGTGCCCTGACCAGGAATGGAGCTGGGACCTTGCAGTGCACGGACAACACTCGCCAACCGGGCCACACCAGGCAGGGCACAACGGCTCTTTTCCATGAAAAATTAAACTAAACTAGAAAATATCAGTGTGTGTCTCTTGTAGCTGGAATAAGTCTTGTGTTAAACTTGTTCTAGTTGTGTGTGTGTGTGTGTGTGTGTGTGTGTGTGTGTGTGCACTCACAGCATCATGATGCCAGATGTGTTTCTTACTGACAGTCATGGTCCAAAAAGTTTGAAAAACACCCATCAGAACAGAGGCCTCTAGGGGCTTTCGCAGAGGGGTGTTTGCACCTGGGAGATGTGAAAACTGACCCAGCATATGTGTGGGAATGTTAGAAGTTGTTCTGAAAATCTCACTTGAGCCTGGCCGGTGTGGTTCAGTGGTTGAGCATCGGTCCATGCACCAAGAGGTCGCCAGTTCAATTCCTGGTCAGGGCACATGCCCCGGTTGTGGGTCCGATCCCTAGTTGGGGGCATGCAGGAGGCGGCTGATCGATGTTCTCTCTCACCTATGTTTCTCTCTCTCCCTCTCCCTTCCTCTCTCTCTAAAATCAATAAAGAAAAAAAATTAAAAAACAAACAAACAAGAAAATCTCACTTGGAAATCTTCTCTTTGTGAATGCTTTTAAATGAACTTAATAGTTTATAAGGAAATACAGACATGCATACATAATCTGAAGAGCTACTTCATTATTATTTTTATTGATAGCCCTTGCTTTGGGGGCTATGATTCCCACCCAAGGCTGTGTCCTTCAGGATCCCCTTGAGAGCTGTTAAAAAATGTGGATTCCTGCCCTTGCCGGTTTTGCTCAGTGGTTAGAGCGTCGGCCTGCAGTCCAGAGAGACCCGGGTTCAGTTCCCGCTAAGGGCACGTACCTCGGGCAGTTTGTCCCCGGCCCTGGTTGGGTCGTGCAGGTGGAAACCACTCGATGTGTCCCTTTCTCGTCGGTGTTTCTTTCTCTTTCTCTGTTCCTCTCTCTCCCTCCCACTCTATCTGAACAAAAAATGGAAAAATGTCCTCGGGTGAGGATAAAAAAAAAAGTGGCTTCCTGGCCCTGGCCGGTTTGGCTTAGTGGTTAGAGCATCGGCCCGCAGACCAGAGAAAACATGTGGATTCCTGGCCACCCCCAGACCTGACACTGGGCACCCCTGGATGTGGATCTGGAAAATGCATTTTTAGCAGCTCCCTTAGGGGATTCTGATCTCGAATCAAGTAGTTAATACAAAGATATTAATGCCTACCCATAGGGTTAGAATTGGGGTTTGGGGTGAAGGTGGATAGAGCGGTAGATATGGCTAGAAAGGGGGTGGGCGTCAAGGTCAGACTGTCGTGGGCCTTGAATGCAGGGCGAGGCGTAGAATTGGGACCATCTATCCTGGGGCTCCTGCAGTGCCACCTCCCCTTCCTGGCCCCTTGGGACAGCCCTGGGCTGGAAGTCAAGAGGCCTGGGGCACAGCACACTCTGCCCTCAGCCCACCGTGTGGCCTGGACACCTTCCTTTTTCTCTCTGGGCCACCGTTTCCCTGTCCGCACAATAAAGGGGAGGGTGTCTGAGCCCCTGCCGGAGACCTGGAGATCCCCGAACACTTCCCCTGCAGACTGAGCCGGCCGCCGTGCACTGACTGCTCGCTGACATCTCCAGGTGGAGCAGCGAGGGTAAGAGGGCAGGAAGGCCTGGTCACTCTCCTTACCCAGAGCAGAGCCGCCATTAATGGAAGCTTCCTGGGCTTCCCAGGCCAGGAAAACTAGGGGAAAGCTGTGCCCCGCCCCCACGGAGAGCTCCCACATCTCTGGATTCACAGTGCTGGCCCGGGACCTGGATCTGACCATGCTCCCTCGGCCTCAGGGCTGTGCCCCGCCACCCAAGGAAGTCAGTCTGCGTGGAGACCCCAGCAGCCAGCGGGGTTCCTGGAATTCTTCCTCTGTGGGCTCTGGGGGCGGTGGGGGCTGGAGAATGGACACACACATCCCTCCCCAGACATGACCTCCAACCCCTCTGTTTCCACAGAGACTTACTGCCCTTCACGCTGAGGCTGCCGCAGGCCATCCTGGAGGCCAGCAGCTTCACAGACCTCAAGACCATCTCCAGCCTGGGCCTGGGTAAGTCCGCGTGAGGGTCAGGGGAGCTGGTGGGGCTTGAGGAAATGGGGCCCTGGAACTGCCCCTGCTGACCACCTGTGCAGAGGGGTCCCCTCAGACTGAGACCAAGCTGGATCCTGAGCCCCAGCTCCCACGTGGACTCCCGCCCCAGGCTGCTAAGCCCCTGGAGCAGGGAGATTCTCCCAGTCTTCAAAATCGTGCCTTTTAACAGCTGCCCAAGAGATCTGAAGGAGCCGGGGCTGGTCAGGGCGACCTGTTGTCAGGGTATGGCTGGGACAGGCTGAACCAAAGGCCAGTGTCCTTCTCTGTGGTGGCCGGGGAACTGGGCGTGACCACTGCCCTGGTCCCCAGCCCCCTCCTAGTCAGAAGGAAAAGCCAGGTGAACGTGATCGTGAATTGAAGTGCAGTCCCCATTCCCCTGGCCTGCCCGCTGCCCACCCAACTGACCCTAAGCACACCTCACCCTGCCCCCTACCCTCTGACCTTTTGAGGAAGGGGGAGGACAAGAAACGAGAAAAGACAAGAACGTTTCTGTTTTTTTCTGATCGGTGTTTCAGGCTTCTTAGGGTATATTCCTAGAAGTGGGATCACTGGGTCAAATGGAAGTTCAATTTTTAATTTTTTGAGGTAACACCATATTGTTTTCCATAGTGGCTGCACCAGTCTGCACTCCCACCAGCAGTGCACTAGGGTCCCCTTTTCTCCACACCCTCGCCAACACTTGTTGTTGGATGATTTGTTGATGGCGGCCATTCTGACAGGTGTGAGGTGATACCTCATTGTTGTTTTAATTTGCATCTCTCTGATGATTAGTGATGTTGAGCATTTCTTCATATGTCTCTTAGCCATTTGTATGCACTAAGAAGCCTGAAACACCAATCAGAAAGAATATATGTATCCCCATGTTCATAGAAGCACTATTTACAATAGCTAAGATCTGGAAACAGCCTAAGTGTCCATCAGTAGATGAACGGATAACAAAGCTGTGGTACATATATGCAATGGAGTACTATGCAGCTGTAAGAAAGAAAGATCTCTTATCCTTTGAGATGACATGGAGGGACCTGGAAAGTATTATCCTAAGCGAAACAAGCCAGAGAAAGACAAGTATCATGTGATCTCACTTATTTGTGGACTATAATGAACATAACAGTCTGAGGAATGGGGTAGTCCCACAGACGTGGAAGTGGGGTACAGACTGACAATCCCCAGAAGAGGGAGTAGTGGGGGAGATAAACCACAGAACTTACATGCATGTGTGCATGAACAACAAAGCTGGGGACGGGGCGGGAAGGGGAGAAGGGGGAATCAGTGGGAGGAAAAGGAGAAACATCTGTAACAAAAATAAATTAATTAATTTAAAAAAAAAATGTTTCTGATCCTAGCCCTTCCACATAACAGTGAGATGCCCCTGGGCCCTTCCCTGGTGTCAGGCCCTTCTGGGCGTTCCGACCAGGGCCTCACCATGCTGGCTCTTGGGAAGCCAGGCCAGCCACCTCTGCCGCTCCAACTCCTGAGCAGATGCCTGGCCACATTTATGGACACAGCAGTTAATCAATAGATCTTTAAAGACTAAACCACGCCCGGGACCCGGCACTGCACACAGCCGGGCACGATGCCTGTTCACCAGTGCTGGGCGCATGGAAGAAGCCATGACTGAGCGGGCGGGACCAGGTCGTAGACGTTAGGGACATACCTGGATTGGAAGATACTCGCAGGCCCCAGGCCAGGCTGCTGTCCACCACCCAGAGGGGCCTCTGCACAGCCGAGGCGCCACTGAGAAGCTCATGGTCAGAAAGGAAGTAGGAGCCATCCAGGTCCTGGGTGTCAACATCTAATGAGCACTGACTGTGTTCTAACTCCTCAAGCAACCCTAGAAAATAGGTTCTGTTATTGTAACCCCCATTTTATGGCAGAGGAAACTGAACTCGAGAGCTTAAGTAACATGCCCAGTGCCACACAGTTGGTGGCAGAGCTGGGACCTGCACCAGGGGGTTGACTGCAGCACCCTCCACCCCCAAGCTGCCCCTGAAGTCTCTGCCCAGACTCTCCTAGGTCTGATGTACCCAGCTTATCAACGTGAGGACCCTCGTCCAGTTAATATCGGGAATAAACGCTGCGTTTCACCCCGAGATGTTTTAGCTGTTGGGCTCTTACCCTCCCAGAAGTTGGGATGTGGAATGGGTGACCGTTTGCGATCCACACAGTCCAAATGACAACCCCCCCGAGGTCTGAAGTGGCATGAATGACTCTCATTGCAACATGCTTAGCACTGTCTTGTGTAAGCCTCGTGTCCCCATTTTAAAGATAGACGATCAGGTGTTAGGACATCTCAGAAACATGTCAGGGTGCCCGGGTGGGAGGAGCACCAAGGGCTTTCTGACCCCCGGCACAACCTCTGCATTGCCCCTCGGCTGCCCTCATGCCCGCCTCGGCATCTTTGCACAACAGTCAGTGTTCAGCTGGAGGCTAGGTTGACGGCAAGGGAGATGGATGGGCCCGCCTGGGGAGGATGGCCTCCGAGGGTCGGGTTGCTACAGCGCTTGGCCCCGCTGTGGGCTTCAGGCGGGTGTCCCTGGGACATTCCTTTCTGGAGTGGACAAGCCCTCCTGTCATGGAGAACTTGACCTCGGGCACGGTGAAGTGGGGGAGGGAGGTTGCCATCTGGGAAGCTAGTGGCAGTTTGGATCGGTCCATCAGCCCTTCCTTCCTTAAGAAGGGGATTTACATGACACCGCTTAGGGACTCGGCAGCTTAGGAACTAAGGGTGCCAGTCGGACCTGGTGTCCCCACTGGTTGGAGGATGTAAAGCAAGCTCCTCAGAATAGCTTTCCCCTGGTCCCGTCCGTCCCCTGCGGGGATGATGACTGAAGCTGACAGGGCACATCTGGTCAGGCGCCGAGGCCTGAGCCTCCACACTCTCCCCCGTGTGTGATAATAAATATGCAAAGAGCGTTTGCCAGGGGACAGGACACACAGGCACTGTGCCCAGAGTGCCACGTACTGTTCTAGGCGAGGCACTCGGGGTGGAGAACTGAAACCCAACCACACTGGCGTAGATCAAAGAGGACTTAGTGAGAGGACACTGGGGACTCTCCCAGCAATGGCGCAGAAGGTCAGCCGGGCTTTGCGGGCACAGCTGCGCCCCACACACAGGCTGGCTGGGGCAGCCGGACCCAGCATCCTGTCCCGTTAACTCCCCTGCCTGCTCCCCTGCCCCTCCCTCAGCCAGGCTCCGATCCAGCCCCGTCCCCACCTGACGACCTTGTCATTGGAATAAGATGTTTCTATTTTTCAATGACACTTTACATTCAATATTATTTTATATGAGTTTCAGGGGTACAGCATCCTGGTTAGACAATCATATACTTTACAATGTGCCCCCTGATACTTCCAGTCCCCATCTGGCCCCATACACAATTAATACAATATTATTGACTATATGCCCTGTGCTCTACTTTACATTTCATGACTATCTTGTAACTACTTTTTTTGTTTGTTTATTAACCCCCACCCAAGGAGACTTCTCCATTGATTTTCCAGGTAAAGTGGGAGGGAGGAAGGGAGAGAGAGAGAAACAACAGTGTGAGAGAGACACATGGATTGGTTGCCTCCTGTATGACCCTGACTAGGGCCAGGGATCGAACCTGCAACCCAGGTTCGTGCCCTTGACCAGGGATCAAACTTGTGACCCTTGGGTCCAAAGGCCAATGCTCTAACCACTGAGCAACCGGCCAGGGCCCAATTTGTACTTTTTAATTCCTTCATCTTTTTCACCCAGTCTCCCAACACTCCTCCCATCTGGCAAACATTAGTCTGATGTCTGTATCCATGAATCTCATTCTGTTTTGTTTGTTTGTTTGTTGTTTTGCTCTTTAGATTCCACATATAAGTGAAATCATATGATCTTTGTCTTTCTCTGACTGGCTTATTCCACCTAGCGTAATACCCTGTAGGTCCATCCATGCTGTCGCAAATGGTAAGAGTTCATTCTTTTTTCTTTTTCACCTCATGTTTTAATCAATTTTTTTACAGAGAGAGATAGAAACATCAATGTGAGAGAGAAACATGGATCAGCTGCCTCCTGCACGCCCCCTACTGAGGATGGAGCCCACAACCCGGGCATGTGCCCTGACCGGGAATAGAACAAGGACCTCTCAGTCCATGGGGCGATGCTCAATCCACTGAGCCACACCGGCCGGGCAGATTTCATTCTTTTTTATGGATGAGTAAAATTCCACTGTGTACATGTACCACAACTTTTTGATTCACTCACCTACTGATGGGCACTTGGGCTGTTTCCAGATCTTAGCTATTGTAAGTAGCGCTGCCAAGAACATAGGGGTGCATATATTCTTTCGAATTAGTGTCTTGGGTTTCTTCAGATATATTCCCAGAAGTGGATTCTCTGGGTTATAAGGCAGTTAGTTCCATTTTTAATTTTGGGGGGACCCTCCTTACTGTTCTCCATACTGGCCGTATCCCTGGTATTAGCAGTGTTATTTCTCCGGCCTTCTATTCACTTTTCACAAAGTGGGCACAAGGTAATAAATATCTGAACAGTTACACAAGCCCTGCTGCTCAGACACGGACGATGTTGCTGAAAGGGAACCGTTGAACTGCAGGCTCAGCACCCCATGGTAGCCAGACCGCTCGCTCGTGAGCTGACATGAGAAATCTGAGGCTGGCCTTGGAAAACCCACATTTGAAAGGGCAGGGTACACAGGGACACTCATGGGGCTTCAAAACCGACATAGGGAGCAATTCAGCACTAAACTGCACGCACTGATCCTCAGTGCAGGAGTCTGGAGAAAGCGGGGTAACTGGGTTAGATTTGCCGACGTTCTCTGACTTATTCGCAGTGTGTCTAATGGGTTTAAAATATGTTTAGAAAAGGCATATGTTCTATCGCTCTTCCAAGTTGGCATGTAACTTGCTTTTTCCTTTATATTATATAGTGAGAATTTTCCTAGTTATTGAAAATTCAAGTTTGAATGAGCCCATCTTTGGGACGTGAGAAATACTGATTTGCTGAACTCATTGGATTTCTGGGCTGTTTCCCTGGCATCTGGAATACTTTGCTGCATTTATTCATGCCCTTTCTGTCCTGCCACTAGCCCGAGCTCCCCAAGAATGAAACCTTCATCACCTTTGTCCCCAGGATACCACCCAGCACCTGGCCTGGCCCAAGCCCCCTGAGGATTGTAGGAGTGGGCACCTGGCAGGAGCATCTCCATATAAGGCACAGAGGCCAAGGCCAGCAGACATTCCTCGTCTGGGGCAGCACAGGCAGTGAAGGCAGGGACCCTGAGCCAAGGCCTGGCATGGTGCCATTGGACACAGACACCCACAGCTCTGCCAGCTACTAGGGTTGCATGACAGTGTTCCGCTTTCTCCTGGCCTCAACAGTCTGCAGGCTGCAGAGAAAGTGACCTACTTCCTGTTTTTTCTGTTTTTTTAGCTTAAAACGCTGCATTCCCACTGCGATTTCCTAAAGTACAGCCCCTCAGGTCTCAGCCTCCCACCCCTCAGAGTGGCATTGGCTTTGAGGCCTCTGCCCTGCCGGGGTGCAACCACCAGGCCTGTCTGAGGGGCAGGGGAGCAGTTCCTAGTCAGCCAGGCCCTGGGCCCGTTTCCCTGCTCCGTGCCAAGTCTGAGCTGTAGGAAGTGTATTTTGTTTTGTTTTTTAATCTGTGCATGATGGACCCACCTTGCTAACCCGAGACACCTGTCCGGCTGGTGGTCTGCCCACTCACGAGCTCCATGGCCCTTTGTGCTTCCCTCCTCTCCTTTTCTGTCTCTTCTGTCTCTTGCCTTTGAACATCCTTCCATGTTTCAGGCCCTCCCCACCTCACCATAAAAACTAACCTTGCCGCCCTGGCTGGTTTGGCTCAGCGGTGAGAGCATCAGCCCACGGACCAATGAGTCTCGCTTTCGATTCCAGTCAAGGGCATACGCCTCAGCTGCGGTTCGTCCCCAGCGCCGGTCGGGTCGTGCAGGAGGCAACCAGTCGATGTGTCTCTCTCACATCGATGTTTCTCTCTCTCTCTCTCTCTCTCTCTCTCTCCTTCCCTCCCACTCTATCTGATGATAAGTGGGAAAAGTATCCTCGGGTGAAGAATAAAAAAAAAAACTAACCCCCACTCCTCAGACCCGCTCCACCCTCTGGCTGAGCGGATCCACCCGTGCAGGCTGAAGGGCTGAGCTCCCGTCTATCCAAGCACCGCCTCAGGTGCTGGAGATACTCCGAGTCAGACAGAACCAGAGAACTTCAGGCCCGGTGGCGGCCCCTTCGCTCAGGGTGTGTGCCAGAGCCGGGAGCACTGCACACGGGTCTTGAAGGATGAGTGCCAGTGTGCTGGGTGGAGAGGGCGGGAAAAGCATCCCAAGCAGAGTGAACAGCATCAGCCAAGCCTGAAGGGGGCAGCCCAGAGCGTGCTCAGGACGAAGCGAGCGGAGAATGGGGCGGAGACTCAGGTGACGCTGGAAAAGATGTACAGGTTCCCATCCCACAGGCCTTGAGTTCCAGGCCACAGGGCTGGCAGTGATTCCGAACAAGCAGCAGTCAAGGGCCTCCTGTGTGCCTGGCACAGTGCCACACAGAGGAGAATGGATGGAGGGCAGGCTATGGCCATGACCTAGGTGAGCAATAACGGAAGTGCCCAGGCATGGGTGGGCAGTTATTTATTGTCTACCCCATGACGTCCACCTCCACCCAGAGGAAGGGCTTATGGGAACTTGGAGGTGAGCATCGGGAGCTCCGCTCACATAGGGGCTGCTCCAGTTCTCTGGGTCGGACTGGCTGCCGGGCTGGGAGAGCTTCCAAGGAGACAGCTCTATCCGTGCTGTGTGGACAGGGCACAGCGCCTCCTCTGCTCCTCCCCGAGGCCACAGGAGCTGGGTGCTCGTCACAGAGCACCCGGGAGAGTGGATGAGTCGTGGAGGGTCCGTAGCTGCCCATGAAAGTTAAGTGCAAGATCCAGGCAGCCGTGAAGAACATCGTGCCTAACCTCACCACTTTGGCTCAGTTAGAGCGTTGGCCTGCGGACCGAAGGGTCACAAGTTCAATTCCTGGTCAAGGGCACATACCTGGGTTGCAGGTTTGATCCCCAGCCCCAGGGTCGTGCAGGAGGCAACCAATCCATGTGTCTCTCCTTCCCTCCCTCCCTTCTACTCCCTCTAAAAATCAATAAAAAAAATCTCCTCAGGTGAGGATTAATAATGTGGGACATGGGGGAGCCCGGAGACTCCCCCTCCCTCCTGGCACTGTGTCCTCAGGTAGTGGCTATGATGTGCACAGAGCTTTGCAGACTGGACAGAGTCACAGGAAAGCGTCATCTGTGTTACTGTGGAGAGAGCTGGCTGTGACACGCGGGCTGCCCGCCACAGGGCCCCTGCCCAGGACAGCGCCGAACCATGAGCCCCGCTGCCCTCCCGTAACGGCCACGTCTCAGAGGGGATGCACAGGCTCACATGTCACTTTCTCGGGTGCCCCCTTGTCCTGGGATGGCGCCCTGCTCACCTCGACTGGGTTTGCTCCCCTGGCCAGCAAGGGGGTAAACACCTGTGTCCCTGGGAGTGCCCAGCTCTTAGGCAGGCACACACGCTGCCCTCGGCCATCTCGTGATGTCGGCTTTCTTCCAGTGTCAAGAGCCTCTTGTGTTCTTACCACAGCCCCAGTTCTGGGGTGCACGCCACCCCCTCACTCCGACGCTGGCCCAGCAGCTGCGGTGGGAAGTGTCGCAAGTTCCTATGAAGGGAGGCTGCGTAGCGCAGCAGCTGAGCTCCCGGGCTTGACTCTGACCTGCTCCAGCCCAGCTCCTCCGCTCACCAGCCGGGCCGTGGGCCAGCTCCTTGCTGTCTCGGGGTCTGTTTTCTCCATGTGCAGGATGGGATGCTGTCAGGACTGGCACCACAGGCCTGGGGTCAGGGGTCAGGGGTCAGGGAGATGATCCAGGTAAAGCCAGGAGCCCACACAGCCAGGACTCAGTGCATGTTTGCTCCTGTTATTGGCCCAGGTGTTGTTTTTGGTCATTTTCTTTGTGAGGAATTGTTCCCAGAAGGAAGGGCTGCAGGTGAGAGTCTGGAGACCCGGCCCGTCACGGACAGGGGAGTCCGCACTGAACCTCTAGTTAGGTTGAAGGAGATCCGGGCCCCTGTTCCAGGACGAGCTGCCCGAATGAGCTCGGAGCAGCTGCAGGCTCACTGAAATCATTCTCACGATTGTGCCCTGTGCCCTTGTCGGAGGGTCCTGAGCTTCCGTCAGATCCTCACAGAACTCCCGAGGGGGGCTGGTTGGCCCCCCGTGTCCTTGCAGCTTGGACGTTGCATGCCCCACACACCTGGCGCTGACCAGCAATGCCTGGAAAGGGACAGATGTGCTGTGGTGGCCACAGCCACGGGCTGTCGTCAGGCTGGGTCAGGAGAAAGGCGGGAGCTGGAACTTGGCTCAGCGGTGCTGGAGCCATGGATTAACCGAGACTGACCAGTCAGTCGCTCTGCAGGGGGCAGCTGTCCCCACCCGGACGGGCAGGTCTGAGCTCACTGGCCACAATCCGTAGGTGTGTTCTTCCTGGAGAGAATGACTGGTGGCCAGCACAGGCCCAAAGCATCTTCCCTGTTGGGACCCCCATGCTAGAGATGTCTAGATGGAGCCCTAGGAAGGTCAAGCAGCCTGCCCCCGAGCGCCCAGCTGGTCAGCTGCAGGAACTCTGTGCTTTCTGCCCCTCCAGCCCCCACGGCCTGCGCCCTGGGTCACTGCTGCCCTCCATGCCGGGCCTCACGCCAAGGGGCAGAACTGAAGTGAGCCTTCACTGCCACCTGGCCCCACCCACACTGCAGGGGAGGATCTCGCGGGGCTTCCCCTCTCGAGGCAGGAAGTGGTGGGAGAGGTTAAAACAGTCCAAGAGAGGAAAACAACCCAGGGAACAGTGAAGTAAATGCTGCGATGGCCCTCCCAGCCCTCCCCCGGCCGTCCCCACTCCGCCCACAATGCCACCCCTGACTAAGCAGGGGCCCCGCACCAGAACTGACCCCCTCTTCCTCTCTTGTCTCCACAGGCTTCTGGGACTCCTCGCTGAACTCCCGCCGAGCAGGTGGCGGCCCAGCAGGACACTGCAGAGACCCAGCCCCCAGGGCACCCCCCGCCTCCCGCCCCGGGTCTGCCTCCCACGATGAGCACTGCTCCTGTGAAATCGAACTCTCCGCGGGAAATGACCGCCTGTGGTTCGTGAATCCCATCTTCATCGAGGACTGCGGCAGCGCCCTGCCTGCAGACCGGCCACCCCTTCCAAGCTGCCCCTCTGGCCCTTCGCCTGCCACCTCTGACTCTACCTCACCCACCTCCAAGTGGGCCCCTCGCCGCCCAGCACCCCCGCCCCCAGCAGCCCCCCCCCCCTCTCCTCAGTCCCCCCAGGCCTCCTCCGCCCCCTGCTCCAGCTCCGGCCTGTCCTTTGTCGAGTTCTCCCCCAGTGGCTTCTCCTCCACCTCCAGAAGCCCTTCCTCCTGCATCCCCAGCATCTGACCCCGACCTGGCACCCCAGGCCCTAGGCCCCCCAGACCATCCACGCCAGCTACCTATGACAGCCTGTGAGAGGCTCCCATGCCCCCCCACAGGCCTGGGCCCCCTCAGGGAAGAAGAGATGAAACCAGGGGCAGCCCCCAGCCCCTCGCAGCAGGCCCCCGCCCCTCCAGGGCCAGTGAAGAAGGGCATCCCCGCTGCTCCTCCCAGACGCCGGGTCTCCGAGAAGGTTTCCCTGGAGGACCAGCATTCAGAGAAGGTGGACAGGGGCACAGCGGCACAGCTGGGTTTTTCCAGGGCATCCCCACTCTGCCTGCCTCCCCAGGGGACCTCAGACAGTCCTGGGGACAGGCCTCAGAGGACCACAGAGCATGGACAGGAAGCAGTGGCCAAAGCCAGTGATCCGGGCAGCCTGCCAGAGTTGTCAAGGAAGACCCGGCAACCACCAGTCCCGCCTCCGAGGAAGAAACGGATCTCCCGGCAACTGGCCTCCTTTCTCCCGAGCCCCTTGGAGAGCGCCGAGCTCTCCACCGAGCGCATAGCCCCTGAGAAGCCCACCCCCGGCCTACCCAGAGAAGGCCAAAGCCCGGCCTCCCAAGCCGGGACTCCAAGCCCACAGGCCCAGGCCAGCAGCCGGCCCCAGAGCACTCCAGAGTTCAAGGGCTCCCTGGCCTCCCTCTCGGACAGTGTGGGCATACCCGCCTCGGCCACAGACCAAGACTCCTACTCAACCAGCAGCACAGAGGAGGAGCTGGAGCAGTTCAGCAGCCCCAATGTGAAGAAGAAGCCCTCCATGATCCTGGGCAGGGCGCGGCACCGCCTGAGCCTCGTGAGCTTCACCAGCGTCTTCCAGGCCTTTCTCTCCAACGACCGCAAGCTGTACAAGAAGGTGGTGGAGCTGGCTCAGGACAAGGCCTCCTACTTCGGCAACCTGGTGCAGGACTACAAAGTGTACAGCCTGGAGATGATGGCGCGCCAGGCCTCCAGCACGGAGATGCTGCAGGAGATCCGCACCATGATGACGCAGCTCAAGAGCTACCTGCTGCAGAGCACGGAGCTCAAGGCGCTGGTGGACCCCGCCCTGCACTCTGAGGAGGAGCTGGGTCAGTGCGGGGCAGGGGCTGGGTGTGGGCGGGAGGGAGGGATCATCCCAGATAACTCCCCCTTCCCCTCACCCCCAAACTAACCACTTTGCTGTCTGCCTCGTGCTTCTGAGCTCTGCTCAGGCGCCCAGTGAGATGCGGAAGAACCTCAACCCACATGAGAGGCTGGGCAGGACCCCACCCTCAGGATGCTCCTGGTTTTATGAGGGAAACAAGTCACAAGGAGCAATTAGCGGAGAAAGGAGTAGAAGGTGTGGCCCTGAGGGCCAGAGCCGGTCTGGGCAGATGTGGCAGCTCTCAGCATGAGGGACACTGGAGGGCTGGGCCAACGCCTCTCATTTTGCAGATGAGGAAATAGTAGCTGAGGCCCTTCCTCTGGGGACAGGGTAGAGCCCAAAAAAACTTCCCAAGAATATTTATCTACTGTCACCCAAGGCAGCTGAACATCGACCTGGTATCAAGTAGATATGGGTTCAAATCTTTGTTCAGCCCCCGACTAGCTGTGTGACCCACATCATCGGAGCCTGAGTCGGTCCATCAGGAGAGTGGGGATAATGGCATGTATGTTGCAGAGCTGCTGTGACATCAAACCTGGACAGTTCCCATTCTGCTAGATGATCAGGTGCCTCTCGGATAAGATGACATTTGGACAAGTGAAGGAATCAGCTGTGTGGATAGCTGTGAAGTGACTTCTTTAGGCAAAAGGAATAGCAGGTGCAAAGGCCCTGAGGCAGGAGCAGGCGTGGCAGGTGGTAGAGCAGCAAGGAGACCAGTGTGGCTGGAACAGCATGAGCATAGGGGAGTGAGCAAGGTGCTAAGTGAGAGAGGTCACAGGGACAGATCACCAAGGGGCCTTGAAGGGCACAGGGAAGACTTTGGCTTCTATTATCCATGAGATGGGAGCCATTGGAGGGTTCTCATGACAGCAGTATCATGGTCGAACACCACAACAGGATTATGCTGGCTTCTGGGTTGAGAATGTACTGTAAGGGGCCAGAGCAAGAGGCTACCAGCATAACTCAGGCAAGAGATGACGGTAGCTCAGGCCAAGACGGCAGCCTTGGAAGCGGTGAGAAGTGCGATTCTGGATAGACTGTATTCTTGAGACTGGAGTCAAGTGGATTTGGGGGTTGAAAGAAAGACTTCAAGAATAATTCCACACAATATTTACTGAGTACCCAGGACCTCAAAATATAACTATACAGGTTGTGCACTGTGTAACTCCCATGTATAGTGCCCTCCAAAGCTGTGTACCAATAGGCAGCCCTGTGAGAGTTTAATCTGTGCCAGGCCCTGTGGAAAGCATTAGGATACAATGTATCAGTCTGAGGACTCCCTGTGGGGCTTTCTGGAGAATGTACTACACTGCCTTCTGTGTCAGGACCGCAGGCTGTAACTGCTGGGGCTGTGAGTATGTTTTTCCAGGGATCAGAGATGGGGATAGCCACACTGGGGGGCAACAGGCGACCTCACCCTACTCCTCTCGCCCACCTCCAGAAGCAATTGTGGAGTCTGCCTTGTACAAGTGTGTCCTGAAGCCCCTGAAAGAAGCCATCAACGCATGCCTACGTGAGATCCACAGCAAGGACGGCTCGCTGCAGCAGCTCAAGGAGAACCAGCTGGTGGTCCTGGCCACCACCACCACTGACCTGGGCGTGACCACCAGTGTGCCGGAGATGCCCGTCATGGAGAAGATCCTGCAGAAGTTTGCCAGCATGCACAAGGCCTACTCACCAGAGAAAAAGATCTCCATCCTTCTCAAGACCTGTAAGCTCATCTACGACTCCATGGCGCTCGGCAACCCAGGTAGGTGGGCAGCTGGAGGGGACTGGGCTGAGGGCTCTCTCCAGGCTGCAGTATTGTGTGGGTCTGTGACTCCTCGCCTACCAAGGCCTCCAGAGCCTCCAGAAGGCACTACAGAAGCCTTTGCAGAGTCAGAGGCCTGCTGGGGCAGAACTGGGCATGGTGAGGATACACTTCCTGGGCACCTTGCAGGGTTCCCTGGGCATCAGGAGGAGGCTGTGGTCAGCTGGAGGCAGGCAGGGAAGCCAGCCCGCACTGTGCCTCTGTGTGGATTACAAAAGGGCTCTGCTCTCTAGGGCTGTCGTAACAAAGTACTGCGAACTGGATGGCTTCAGCGGCAGGTGTCTTCCCCCACAGTCCTGGGGGTGGGAAGTTTGAGGTCAGGGTGTCAGCTGGGCCATGCTCCCCGGGAAGGCTCTAGGGAAGGATGTGCTCCAGCCTCGCTCCAGCTTCTGGTAGTTCCTGGCGGTGGCAGCATCCCTCCTGTCCTCTGTGGCGTTTCTTACGTGTGCATGTCTGTGTCCAAATGTCCCCTTTTTATAAGGGCACCAATCACTGGATTAGGGGCCCACCCTAGAATGTGACCTCATCGTAACTAACTATATCTGCACCAATCCTATTGCCAGTTACAAGGTCACATTCCAAGGTACTGAGGGTTAAGACTTCAACATAGGAATTTTGGAGGGACACAGGTCACCCCATAACAGCCACTTAAGTCAGTTAGCATGTATGATTGCTCACAGGTCAGTTGAGAGGTTACGCTGATCTGGTCTGGTGGGCGGGGCGGGGCGGGGCTGGCTCCTGGGTTTGTGGTCGGAGGGTTTGTTTGGAGGCTGGTCTAGGACGGCCTTGCTCAGAGGTTGGGTGTTTGATTGGCTGTTGATGGTCCGGATTGGGAGTGACTGGGCCATGATTTCTTGTGCGCCAGCAGGTTAGCCCGGGCTTGCGCCCATGGCAGTAGTGGGTGGACGGGGAGAACATGCAAAGCTGGGAGGCCTCTGAGGGCCTGGGCTTGAACTGGCATGATGCCACTCCGCAATATTTCACTGACGTGTTTAGTCACAAGGCCAGCTCAGCGTCAAGAAGTGAGGAACTAGACATCCCTTCTTGATGGGAAGAGCTGCAAAGTCAAGAGCCTCCCAGCCGAGGGGAGCAGGCGTCGCGGCCCCACCCCTTCGGGCACAGAGCGCTGGCTGGGCCTTGCCCGCTCTCCCCTCCCCCGGAGGCTTGTGCAGTTAGCAAGTGGGTAATGGCGACAGCCAGGGCAGTGGAGAGTGCCCTGTAGCCACACAGACCTGGGGCAAATTCCTGATCTGTCACTTACCAGCTGTGTGACCTTGAATGAATCAACCCCTTAAGGCCCAGTTTCCTCTCCTGAGGAAGCTGTTTTACAAAGAGGGAAACTCAGACTAAGACTCCCGAGGCTTCAGAAGCTGTGTCATTCGCGTGTGACTGTTAGAAACAGCAGATGTGCAATGTCGACCTCAATGCACAGCACCTACCGGTCCCCACCAGTGGTGGCGGTTTCCGGAGGACGATTCTCTCCATCCCCCTTGGACAAGGGCAGGCCAGTCTGGCCGAAGGCCCGCAGCAAACATTGTTAACATGTGCGTGGGGACGGTGCTGGGTCCGCTCACTCTAGAAAAGCTCCCTTCAGAGAACAGTCTGGGGAATCGCCTCCCCCTGGGCCGTGCGGTGAGGTCGGGCCGAGGACTGCAGGCCCTGAGACGTTACTAGAGAGACAGCTGTGGGCCTAAGAAGGGCGGTTCCGTTCGCAGCGAGCCCCAGTTTATTCCGAAAGCTTGGGCATCCTGGAATTCCTTTAAACACACAATCTCTTGACAGTAACTTAAAACACAGGGATTTTACTGACAGCGAATTCTCTTAGTGAAAACCAGAGAGCGGGCGGCGGGGAGGGGGGGGCAGCACGTGAGAGGGGAGCAGCAGCGCGCTCAGCCCCACCGAGGGAGGCTGCAAGCTCCCGGGTGGGAGTCCCTGAGCCTAGAAATCCAGGCCGCGGCCTGGCTCTATGCAGATTCCTCCCAGGCACAGGCACAGAGGGGTTTCCCCTGGAGGCACAGGCAGCGTGTCCTCTGCTGGCGGCCTCACCTCTGCCCCCAGCAGGCCGCCTGCCCTACTCCCAGTCTCCGCTGCTTCACTGGGAGGAAGCACGTTCTGCCGAGAAGAGCCGTGGCTTTGGGGTTCATTCACGGGCCTGGGTTTGAACCCCAGCTTTGGTGCAGGGGGCAAGAAAGCACACAGAAAACACCTGGACGGTATAGGCCCCAAGGGGGTACTTGCCTTCCAGAACCTCGATCTTCTCACTTACAGAATAGGGCTGGGGACTCCCTTCTCGGTGCTGTCCTGGTATCAGGTGCAACCCAGCTCGCGTCCGGTGGACACGGGGATGCAGGATTGGCTCCCCCTCCCCACGTTCCTAAGAACGTGGAGGCTGAACCCACACAGTGCTTTCCAAGCTGGGTTCCAGGAGGCACCCCAGGGGACACCAAAGGGACATGGGCAGGCAGGGTCCACCCAGGCTTCACCCGGATAATCCTGCTCGCCCTGTTTTTCACATGGGGTTCCACATGAGATCTGAAATAACCAGTTCCGCTGGGAAATGTTTTGGCTTTATGAAAATCTTTCACTTGGAAATCATTTCAGACTTCAAATACTTCAACAATAGAAATAGTACATTAAAATGGAAACATCCATTTGTGGATTGTCAATATCTCACCCCATTTGTGGTATCATCTATGCTATCTCTGTGCATACTTAGTTTTTTTCTGACTCACATGCGAGTCCGTTGCGTACGTCTGGACTCTTGACCCCGAAGCACTTTGCACTCTTCGAAGAAGAGGGAAGCTCTCCTACGCAAGCACAGTCAAGTTGTCCGCTTTATAAGTTCGCACTGACACAGTATTTCTACCTAAACCGCCGCCTGTACGCAGGTTGTCATTCGCCCTAACGAGGGCCACCTTTGCATGTCCTCCTCCAGCTCAGCGTCCAGGGCAGGTATTACGTTAAGGTGCCGTGTGTCTTTGACCTCCTTTAATTTGGGACACAGCCTTTCTTCATCTTTCATGACACTGGCGTTTTTAAGGAATATAGGTTCCCTGCCCATCCGCCATCATTTTTCCTTTTCCTTTTATTAGCATTTATTTTACGCTGGATTTACTCCTGGGCCACACGTTTCCGTTTCTTCCGGGGTATCTTTCTCCTGGGCACCCCCTCTGGTCGGGAGCAGCCTGCGCTGTCCCGGTGGGACCAGCGCGGGTGGCGGGGGAGCCGCGTGGGGGTGAGTCTGCCCCGCGCTCGGACGTCCTGCCGGCACCTCGGGCGGGTGCTCACCTGGACGGCTCAGTGAGCAGGGAACCGACCGTGGGACCCTGACGGCCGGCGTCACTCTCTGCATCTTACAGCAGGTGCCGCGAAAACTCCGCACCTTCTGGGCGACCGGCCCTGTGTCCAGCCCCGCTGTTCGGCCTGGGCCACTTACCAACTGCACCACTGTAATGACGGAGCGGCACACATTGCTTCTGTCAAGTGACGTCCTCGGATCCTCGGTGGCTTTCGGGTGTGCGTACCCTTGATGGCCTGGGCAGCCTCACGAGTCTTCTTAAAGTGAACACAGGGATTTGAACCTCTTGATTTTGTGGGGTTTTCTGGGTCAAGTGACTGGCAAACCATTTTCAGAGGTCACCTCAGGCTGCTTTTGGGAAGAGGAGACCCATTTTATCCTTTTTAATGAAAGTTCCTCATTCTGTGTTTGTCAGACATTTCCTCGTGATGGGGTAGAGGTTATGCATTTTGAGCCAGATCCCGACTGACTCTTGCATTCTCCTGACTTTGACGTTCTGCCTCTTAGAACCAGGCCCTTCACCCCAGCTGTCCAGCTCACACCTCCCTCCTGCCAGGCGCTTCCAGTGGCTTGCTACCCAAAGCGGTCCGTACGCCAGCAGCCCTGCCTAGGAGCCCTGGGAGCTGTCGCTGACCCCATGGAGGGCAGGCTCCAGCCTGGGTCCCGCCTACCTCCACACTGACCCACTCTAAGCAGAAATCAGCCCTTCCTCCTGCCCCTCCCGCCCTGCCGCAGTCCCCCTCATCTGAGGAAGCAGCTGTCCCATTACACCTTGCTGGCAATAGCACCCAGTGGTCCACCCAGCGCCCACTTGAGACCAGGATAAACACAGGGCCTGGCTGCTGGCGAGACGCATTGGAACAAAGGGTAAAGGGCTAAGCTTGCAAACCCGAGGCCGGAGGTCACTGGCCAGGCTGTCTTTTCCAGAAAGGTAGTTGCTATTTATGCCCATGATATGGACGGGCCAGGTCTCAAACCCAGACTCTTCTCACTGCAGAACTCGTGAGCCTTTGTCACTGCACCGAGCCGCCAGCCTTGGGACAGACCCCAAGGCTCCTGGTTCCGGACCAAGGGCTTCCTCCGCTGCAGTAGTAAGTACAGGGCCTGAGGCAGGCGCAGCGGGGAGTTCCCGGACACGGTGGCTCTGGGTGACATGGCCCTCCATCCTGCAGCCAGGAGCAGCCCCCGTTTCTCATGGATGTCGCGAGGCTTGGTGAGACCAGGGTAGGACTTCAGGAACCATGTCTCCCATTACTTTGACAAACAAGTTATTCCCACCTCTTCAGTGTCTAAGACCACATAGCTGACCTGCTATGGGGAGAAGAGATTCAAGCCAAGAACTCCTCCCTGAGATGGGAGGGGGAGCGAGGGAGGAGGAATGCAGTGTCTGCAAACGTGCGGTTCTTTCAAAAAGAATATAAAGAACCTTCTAGCCCTGGCTGGTGTTGCTCAGTGGTTAGAGCGTTGGCCCACACAACAAAAGGTCGAGAGTGCGATTCCCTGGTCAAGGGTACATACCTAGGTTGCAGGTCCAATCCTGGGACCCATCAGGGCACATGTAGTAGGCAACCAATTGATGTGTTTCCCTCACATCAATATTTCTCTCTCTCCCTCCCTCCTTTCCACTCTATCTAAAAAGCAA